CTACATACAACCCAAAACATTTATCCCTTTTCCCAGAAGAGGATACAAAGTCCCCTCCCCCTTCCTTAAAATTTAGGATGGTGTTTTTCTTTTGAATTCCCAATATGCTTCTTCTTACCCCTATTGCATGCTGGCAACACCATTCTCTCTCAATGCTCAGGATCAATCACTCCAATGAGTTACAGCAATGACCTTCTTTGCCTATTGATTCAGTGGCATGAAGAGCTCGAAGTGGCCAGGTGGCAGTTTCAGTTTCCAGGAGGACTCATTTTTGTGTCCTCTCATGGAAGGACTATTCCTTCTGGAACCAAGACTTCTAGATCAGCAGAGCCTTGAGCTGTGAGGATGGGAAGTGAACATGTTTCATGGATCACTGATGTTCACAGTGAGAGAAATCACTTTTGTTTCTACCCCTCGATTCCCCATCTCATGAATCCTGCATCCTGGAAGGTGTTTCTCCAGCTTTGTAAGATGCTGGCACCATAACCGAGTCTTTAAAAGGCCATCTCACCATTTTGTAAGCTAATTGTTTCAGGGTGATGGAGAACACAAGAAGACCAGGGAACTCCATGAGCTCCGGCCTGTTTCCACATTGTATTTGCTGTGAAACGAGTTATTTGGTCAGAAGTGATACAGTGTGTAGTATCATGAAAGTGGAAAGTTATTCTGTAAGACCACCGAGAAGCATTCCAGGAAGGAAAGAAAAATCCATAGCAAGAGTAACTATTTCCTCCAGTAAAAAAAACTACTCCCATCCATGCTAGAAGCAGTATACTTTAGTCAAACTGACACAGGTAGCTGGCTGACTCTCTGAGGAATGGTGGCTTACTGGAGGTTCAGCGTTGGTCTCTGCTGTTGGCAGACTGGGCACTCAGCAGTGGCTGCAGCCAGAATGACCATGGTGAGTGGACGTCCATGTTGCTGAATCTATACATGATCTCCATCCCTGCTCTCAAGGACACTGTTTTCATGACCCCATTGGACTATGACAGGAGTTCCTGGGTGACTGAATAGGATCATCAGGGGGAAATTGGTGTTTCTAGAAAAGCAATCTTTGTAATGGAAACCCTTTAGAAAGAGGGATTAAGTAAAGAAGTAGTTCAGGAAGAAGAAGGAAAAAGAGAAGAAACAAATTCGAAATCCCAAAATAGACAGCAGAGGTTAGGAATTTCAGAAATATCACAAAACAATACCTTGGGAATAGAAGAATAAAAGCAAATTAGTGAATATATGAAAGGACTGAGTGATTAGTTTTATCTCTCAATATTAAAAAATCATTATCACACCAAAAAGAACATAAAGTTGATGTAAGGGGTGAGGGGGCATGGTTAAAATCAGGGAGACTCAGGGTGTCCTGAGGGACAAATGTGAAGGGACTGTGGCTCTCTGTAAATCCCTCTTGCTTTCTAAATCTGCACTTTCTGTTCCCACAGTCCCATTTTCACTTAAAATACTGTGTTATTGTTGCAATTGTTTTCTCTCCAGATGGAGAAAATATCCTTTGAACTTTCCTTAGCATAGCTATTTATTTCAATTCACAGATGATATTGTTATTGGTATAAAAAGTGCAAGGATGCACAAGTCAGCTTTTGGTAGCCAATGTTTCATTATGTTCAGGTCATATTACCTAGTAGAATTATTGCGTATTTGTTAGTGTGTCACTTCAGTGAGTTTTCTTTATTCATATTTTTGTATCTGTCACTGATTGATTAACTGTTTTGCTTTTGCTTGTGTGGGATAGGAAGAAACTTTCCTCTACCCTCCTAGGCTCTTTCACTGGACTGGTCTAATAATTAAATTTATGTGAAACAGATAGACAGGAGAAGATAACCACATTTAATTATATACGGATACATGGGAGCCCCACATACATGAGAGGCTCAGAGGCAGAAAGTCAAGGTGAGATAGGTGTGGCATTCTGAGCAAAGGATAAAGTAAGGTGTCTTGGGGCTTTGGAGGGGAGGAAGGTCATTGCAGGACAACAAGATGAGCAGATGTTCAGGAATTAGTAGTTTGCCTTGCCATATACAGAGGTTGAAAAATGTTATCTCTGAGAATCTCTTATTATGGGCAAGGCCCCTAAATCAAATTCTTCTACGCTGTAGAAGAGGTAGGAAGGGTAATAGTTTCTCTTGATACCCCAGGGTCTTAGTTGACTTTAATTCCAAATAATCTGCATATTACAGAGGCACATCTAGAGGTGACTTGTTCTGAACCCTTATACTTGCTGTAGGCCAAAGCCACAATAACTGGTTTTATAACATTTGACTAGTAGATTCTACCATCTATGTTGTTACTTTTTTATGCCTCCAACACTTTTATTATTATTTTTTTCAATACCTATTGTTGGAAGTATTACATATGTTCCCCCCACCTCCCCATGGACCTCTTCTAGCCTGCCTCCATCCCCTGTCCCCTCAGCTCCCATCCCTCTGGTCTTCACCACCCCATTGTCTGTATCCATGGGTTATGCATATATGCATACAAGTTCTTTGGTTGATCTCTTCCCATTCACCCACCCTCCCCCGCCTTCCCTCTGTGATTCCACAGTCTATTCCATGCTTCTAAGTCTCTAGATCTATTTTGTTCATCAGTTTATTTTGTTTATTAGATTCAACATATAAATGAGATCATGTGATACTTGTCTTTCTCTGACTGGCTTATTTAGCTTAGCATAATACTCTCCAGGTCCCTCCATGCTATTATATTTTCTAATAAATATCCCATTTAGTTAACTCAAGTATGCTCAAAGTGCCAAGTTAACATTATCTGTCTTGAATAATGTTCCTACTATGGACACAGAACAAAGAAAACTTTGAGAAAATACAGACCTAAAATACCTATTTTAGACAAATAGGAAAAGAAGTTTCAGTATTTAGGATTATATGTAGTACAATTTTACATAATCATATATAATATATGAATCAATTTTTTTTTAGACAGAGAGTGGAAGAGGGGGAAAGATACACACAGAGAGAAACATCAATGTGAGAGAGACACATCAATTGGTTGCCTCCCGCACATGCCCTGAGAAGCCTGCAATCAAGGTATGTCCCCTTGACCTAGCTCAAACCTGGGACACTTTCGGGTCTGAGGGCAGAGGGCTGAGGGCTGAGGGCCTGATGCTCTCTCCACTGAATCAAACCAGCTAGGGCTTGTAGGAATAGTTTTATAAAAAGTTCTTCCTGCTCTAGAGTTTTATTACTCCAAAAATGGCCTGATACCATAACATCAGAATCACCTTGGAAGTTTCCTAGAAACAGTGAACCTCAGTCCCATCAAGGCATAGATTCTTCATTTTAGAACAACCAGGAGAAGGTCTTGAATTTTCCTCCCTTCTATTTCAGCCTGACGTCTTATCATGAAAAGAGCCCCTTTTCTCTTGCTCTCCTTGAGGAATACCCCTCTACCTCCTATTCACAAAGAGATCAGAATAAAGTTTCTATATATGCTAGCCTATACTGCCCCCAAAGAAGTTTTCCCAGGTATCAGGTGAGTGCAAGCTTTGTTAGAAGGACGTAGGTAGGAAAACTCACTGCTCTTCAAGACTTCACTTGTGAAGTTCACCTGTGGTTGCTTTTCCAGTTCCAAAGGGTACGATTGGGATGGACACACTTGGCAGTTGGAGTAACCCCCTTGTGGGATTCTTACCTGTGGAGTAAGAGCTATCACAGTGGAGAAGGCCAGATGGAAGCCTGAGACTGCCCTTCCGCACACCTGCTCTCACGCTCTCTGATCAAGATGATGTAGCAAAGACAACGTCACAGTCTGGGTATTGACCATGGACATTAGTCCACTCTTAATCTAAAGGGTATAGGGTGGCTATTCCTATCATTTCTCCTCTTAATTAGTTGACTACTGTTTCCTTGCTCCTCTATCTTTTACAGGGCTTACCCCTATCGATCTCTCGCACTTCTATCTTGGTGTTAAATCCACCTTGGGACTCTATTTCTGTATCTCTCTTCCTTATTATAAAAACCTAATTCTTAGGTAATGAAGGGTTGAGTGTATTGAAGAATAAGTTCTTAATTTTCTATTATTTTATACTTGGAAAACAAACACAGGTATGGGTTTTCTGCTTCCTTCCTTGAGCGCCTGTATCTGCTCCAGTAAGAGGCGACAAGGGGCGCTCACACAAGTGATCTTGTTCACTGGAAGCAAACCTCACAGCCCTCTATTCCCTTTCCTCTTTGTCAGGTTTGGAAGCATTACCCAGCCAGGGTCCAGAATCAGTTATAATTTTAGGAGTAAAAAGGATTAATGGTAATGAGATCTTATAGCATTTTTGTAGCATTTTTATTTACGACAAACTCAGAAAGGAAGCATTTTACAATTAATTTCCCTCCCAACATCTCTCTCAGTTTTCATAAAATTGCCATAGCAAAATTATTACCTCCTGTTTATGCAACAAAGAAAACAAAGTTCCATAACTATTAGGAAGGCAATAGTGAGACAATGGGAAGTCTATAATACAGGTCACATTTCTCCCAGTTAAGTACATTGAATGTCTCATGGTACCAGCACGCACTGGAGTCTCTTGAGGTTCCAGGTTTCCTCATGTCTGGTTAGAAATGTGTGTGTGTGTGTGATTAGAAATGTGTGTGTGTGTGTGGTTAGAAATGTGTGTGTGTGTGTGTGTGTGTGTGTGTGAGTAAAGGTGTGTGTGTGTGTGTGGTTAGAAATGTGTGTGTGTGTGTGTGTGTGTGTGTGTGTGTGTGTGACAATCTTGATGGTGAGAAAAGGACATTGGTTCAAAGTTAATTTCTTACCAGCCAGGTAAGGCACTTTCCAGGGTGACACAACAGGGGCAGACAAAGTCTGCTGACTGAACAGGGCTTTGGCTCCCGCTGCGGTTCCCGTGCCTCCTGAGAGTGTTACTGCCGTGCTCCTTGTCCCCTGACCCCCCTGACCCGAGTTCTCAGGAGCACGATTCACTGAGTCCCAGTTCCCTGCCGGAGGTCTGGATTATTCATTCACTTTTTAACATTTGCTGTATGTTATTCCCCCCCAAATGACTGAGTTTACCACCCCAACTCTTAATATTCTTTGCAAAAAGAAGAATAAACACTTTGCTAGTAAAAAATGTTTGGTTTACATCATCTTTTATTTAATTATAGTCCATAAATATATACCAAAGGAATCATTACAGAATTCATATTTTAAGGCACGAAGTCTCCAAAGTTAAGGAACCTATTGTACGTTGCTCTCTCATTTCAAACATTAAAACATCAGAAGTAAAACTGCCAACATAACATTCAACTTAAACCTTAAATTTAGTGGAATAAATTAAGTATATTCAGGAGGTTCAAGTAAGGAATCAACAGGCCGGAGGCTGACCTAATAATCTTGACATGGTTTGGTCATCATTTGGTTTATTCTTTCTACTCATTTACCTTTTTTTATTGACCAATCTATATGGAATGCAAATTTTACTTTTTGAGAGTACAGAGAGCTGTTAAGAAGACACTTCCATTCGCTCTCTGTAATTCAGGACGTTTATCTTGCTTTGAAACACAAATCTTTCATGTCTTGAGCCTCTTGCTGAGCAGTGACTGCTTATCTGCGCACAACCCATTTCTCTTCTGGCTGGGATTTTCTTTCTGCTCCGGGGCCCCTTCACTGAGCAATTCCACGTGGGCTTCCTTAGGCTTCTGCAAGACAGGCATGCAAAGTGCAGTGGCACCCACCTCTAACCAGCCCAGCCTCCCAAAGGCTGACCCACAGGCCGACAGGCAAACACAACACAACACAACACAAAACACAACACAACACAGCACATAGCACAACACAACACAACACAAAACACAACACAACACAACACATAGCACAACACAACACAACACAAAACACAACACAACACAACACATAGCACATAGCAAAACAACACAACACAACACAACACAACACAACACAACACAACAGAACACATAGCACAACACAGTTTGTTCCTTCCTCCCCCTGGTAAGTATCTTCCATAGACATTTGAAATGGGATGTCAACATAAAATCTGGGATTCCAAGCCAACATTTCAGAAACGTGTGTGAACTTTGCTAGCTCCAAAGTAGGATGTCCCCTGGTGAATGCCTTACGGAATCGCCTTTTCAGCTTGCTGAGCACTTACACCTGCGCTCTGTCCTAGGCAGATTAGCTACTCTCAAACCCCCGGTAATCATTGATTTCTAGAGTTAGTTTGTGCTGTACCGAGAGGCAGAAGCAGATCTTATTAGCAAATCATTTGCTCTCATTCAAACGGCCTAATGCTTTTCACTGAGGAAAAGGACTTTGCTGACCACTGGATGTGCAGGCGGGCTCAAGGCACTGATGGTTCTTTATTTATAAACAAATTATGCAACAAAGCCTCTCAGGGTTTTGGCCTTACTGTTTCCTGCCCCGGGGGAGCTCTTTCTCCCACCCGGCAGCTCAGGGAGGGAATGGAAAGGCCCTCCGCTGGAAGTGCATCCAAGGCAGAACCAGGCCACTGGCTGCCAGGCGGTTCCCAGGCTCCGGAGGCCATTCGAAGTTTCAACTTTAGTTCACTTCTGGACCAAACTCTGGCATGTTGGCGCCACGCTGCTAATGCTTCTGCTGATTTTACAGAGTGGTGTGTGGGAATCTGAGGCAGTGTCAGGCGGTCTTCAGAGCAAACAAGAAGGTGTTTAGGATGAGAAATCATCTCTATAAAATCCGAAGGCCCTCTTTATGCCCCTGAGAGGTTTCGGTAGTTGTTATGGGAGTGATCCTAGCGGGATGGTTCTGTGGTTTATTCCTTTCAAGCGGCCTGACACACACTTGAAATTCGGTTGTGTACTTAAAACTACAATAAGCCCACCCTAGCAAAGGTGGGTGTTGTTCTATAGGTCATTGTACAATTTTTTTTTTAAATTTCATTCCTTTTTCATAAATTCCTAAAGCTTTCCACTTTCCCCCTAAAAAATAAAGTAGCTGATTCTTACCTTTGTTCTGCCTGGTGTATTTTCAGAGATCGTCACACTCTCAGGGTTGGTTCCAATGGCTTCTTCTAAAACTACATTAAGGAGGGCACAGTGGAGGAGACAGAACACAAAAAATCTCAAAAACTCCTTTTGGTATCTATAGGAATACTTTTTTTTTTAAAAAAAAATATATCTTACTGATATTTTACAGAAAAGGAAGGGAGAGGAATAGAGAGCCAGAAGCATCAATGAGAGAGAAACATTGATCAGCTGCCTCCTGCACACTCCCCACTGGGAACGTGCCCGCAACCAAGGCACATGCCCTTGGCAGCAATAGAACCCGGGACCCCTCAGTCCACAGGCTGACGCTCTATCCACTGAGCCAAACCAGCCAGGGCTATAGGAATACTCTTAAGAATAGAGAGATAAGTTGTTAAAAGACCGAATCACTAAGCAAATGGCTGCTTTTAAGCTTTTGTAGTGTTTCATTAGTATCATTTACAAGTGGCATGTGAGCCTGTGTTAGCTATGCCTCAGCCACTTTATTCAAAAGAAATTCTTCAGCTCATCATTGATAATGCTTACGCTCTGAGATGAATTTTAAGTAACAGTAATGGGCTTGCCCCGACCTCTACTCTTTCTATTGCCTGGCCCTTCAAGGGACCTGTGTGAGGACAGCTAGCCAGGTTTGGGTGTCAGCTTACTCTTGGTCCAAAGGCAGTGACTTATTACAAAGAACTTGGGCTGACCCTCAAGCTGCCAGACATTATCTCCCTCTCTGCTACATCGAGTCCTGGCTTCTCAGACTTGTCTCACCTCTGAAAGACTGAGAAGGGAGCAGAGAAGTTGAATCTTAAAAATACAACTAAAGCAAGAACAAAAACGCTAACATTTGACAGGGCTTTATGTTTTCCAACATGGCTTCATATTGTTGGCTTACTTTCTAATCTCAATTTATGCTCATGAGAGAAAAATAAATTAACCTAATTCTATAATATAGGTAAAAAAAAGATAAATTCCTATGATAGGCTATAATTATAAATGACAAACAAAAGTCCTCAAAAATTATATTGCAATAAGTGAAATACACAAAATCAAGTGATTCAGCATAGAACAAATACTTGTTAACCTGTAGTGTATAATTTGTGTTAATACTGTTTTACATATTTTCACAGTGCAATGTTGACATAGTATATACTGCAGCATTTGCGGTGCATGGCACAATGTAGACATGCATTTTTTTTTAAAAGGGAAAATAAATGATAAAAATTAAACTGCACTGTTGCAGTAAAAGCTTAGGTTTGGAGTTGTGTGAGGGCAAACAGAAACTTTTGATTTAACGAAGAGCCCGTGATGCAGTCATTTTTCAGCTATCTTTTCCTAGTTCTATAAATATGAAGTGAACATTCATTTCTGCCTCCTTCACTTGCTTCATGAATAACAAGATGCAGTCATGTATGACCAGGCTGGGGTTAGGGGAGGAGAGCATGGCGTGTAGGGGGGAAGGAGGAATCTTAAAAATCCGGGAACACACCTGTTAGAATCCCATCGAGTTGGTCCACCAGAAACTTGGCATCTTCTTCAGAGAAGCACATCGGTGGCTTTATTTTAAGCACGTTTCTATGCGGCCCATCGGCGCTGAGAAGCACTCGCTTTTCTTTCATCCTAAGTGGGATGCAGGGAATGACGGTAAGATTCTTTAAGAATGATATTCTGCACGCGAGAAGCCCACACTTATAAGTTGTATATCTTAAACGTTCCTTGTTTGGAGGGGTGGGAGGAAGTGAAAGAAGCTTTCAAGAGGGTGGGCACCCCAGAACCCAGACACCAAACAGCCGGGAGTGCATTTACTTGTAGATAACGTGCTGCGCTTCGGCTGTGGCGGGGGTCCTTCGCTGATGGTCCTTCACTAAGTCGATTCCGATAAAAAGGCCAACACCCCTGAGGGAGGTGAAAAAAGAAAACTTGACACACACTCTACCAAAGCCTAAGTCGTCGCAACAAGTTAACACGGTCCCCACTCTTCAGTTGACTGTGACCCCCTCTAAGGGTCATTGTAACTGATTCTGACTAATCTAAGACACCAACCCTGTGTCCACGCCTCCTCTCAGTTTCTGAAACAAGTTCGTTTTTGTCACCCAATGCTGCCCCCTCTCACTTATTTGTAAAAGGCTTAAAAACAACCTCTTCAGATCATTTAGTTTCTCAGGGCATTAGTGATGATACATGTTTATATCTATGTATGCAAAATCCCAAGTTTTCCCAGATAGCATTTGAAATGGTTTTGAATAGATCACTTAAAGTTACTTTAAGTTCCTTCTTTTCATCTTTTCAGTGCTGAAATTACCCCGACTTTATCTTTAAAACAATACAAAAGACATATACCCAAAAGTTAGCAGGAACAATGGTATCTGGGTTCTAGATTAAGAATGAGCTTTGTGTTTTCTGTTTTCAAGGTTTTCTAGATTTAATTTTATGTAATTTATTTTAAATTTTAGAAGATAGACATAAGCTATTTCATTTGGAAAAGTGAATAACTGCATAACAGCGCCATGATAAACACACCTGACATCCCCTATCAAAGTGTGCTTAGCCTTCTGTTTCTTCAGTAACTCAGTAAGATAACCCCCTACTCTTGTGGCATTTCCTTGAAGGTCTTCATTTTCAATTACATCCAGGACAGCCAAAGCAACAGCAGAAGATACTGGATTTCCTCCATACTTCATTCAGAAAAAAAGATAAATGAGAAAAACAATAGTTAAATTAGCGGCATTACTTCATCCATGAGAAATGTGTTTCATACATAAGCAAGTAACAATATAATTTCAATAACATTCTCTTGTGATTTCATTTCATAAATTTAGAACATAGCATGATTCTATTCATTCAGGATTAAAGGGAAATACATTCCAAATTATATTTTCCATGCTGCAGAAAGGCTATCAGGATTTGTGTTGATTCAACCAAACAAAAAATAGACAATGTGTTGGGAATTAAGGATTTCAGAGTGTGGTTCAGTGAGGGGGATATGGATTTCTGCCCTTGAATCGTTGCGTGACAACAGCTAAGCAATGACATTTTCTCCAAATAATTTATGTCATTAGATTTGAATCTTACCTTTAGCTATGCCAAATCTATTACCCATAAGGTATAAACTATAGTAATTTTTCCAAGCTTAAGCTTATTACTTTTGGGGGTAAAACCAAGGAAATAAGATTTCCCAAATAAAAATTTAGTATTTCCTACAAGAGCCATATAACATTTATAGTACTCAATTATCTAAACAGAGATGTTTTGGAACTTAAAATATGATACAAAACAAAGAAATAATATCCTCTGCTAGTGAAATATCATAACCTCTTGAGTTTAGCAGGGCAGCCATCTATTAATGGAATAATTAATAATAACATTTGAGGAAGGGAAAGGTTCAGAAGGAAAAATGCATGCGTTATGTCAGATAGAAAGAAACCGGGTTAGATCAAAGTTTAGCTAGGGTTCTGGGGTGGTTAGCTGGCAACACGGAGCGTTATTTTTCACTATCTAGGCAAGAAGTGTAAGAACAGGCATTATTGAACCTCTCAGCATTAAAGCCCGGCACCAGGATGTACCGTGTTGAAGTACTCCATTCCCGAGCTGCAGAAGGCCTCCGCGATTTCTTTGGTTGTGACCACGCAGGCCACCGGGTGGCCGTTGCCCATGGGCTTCCCCATTGTGACGATGTCTGGGACGAAGTCCTCGCCATGCATTTGGAAACTCCAGAAATGCTTCCCAACGCGTCCAAAGCCCACCTGAACTTCATCGGCTATAAACACCCCCCCTGCTGCGCGTACATATCTGAAAAGCAAAAGGACAGTCTAATGCCCTCAGGTCGCCGGGAGTCCCCACCCCCGCCCACAAAGGTGCAGATTATTGAGCAGTTACAAAAAATGCTGCTAATCGGTAGCCTGGAATCGTTGTTAAAAATATTTCAGTGCTCAGAACCCCGAATGACACCTATGTTGTCACTGGCTTTGAAATAGAACCACATAATCCCCAGATTATATCTATTCTATATTTAGATTGGGGTTTGTGGTCAAGTAAACTCTACCCCAGTTTTGTTTTTTGTTTTTTTAATCCTCACCTGAGGCTATTTCTCTGTTGTTTTTTAGAGAAAAGGAAGAGAGAGGGAAAGGCAGAGAAATATCCGTGTGAGAGAAGCACATGGATTAGTTGCCTCCTGCAGGCGCCCACCAGGGCCTGGGCGGGGGAGGAGCCTGCAACCTGTTGTTTTTTAGAGAAAAGGGAGAGGGAAAGACAGAGAAATATCCATGTGAGAGAAGCACATGGATTGGTTGCCTCCTCCCACCAGGGCCTGGGCGGGGGAGGAGCCTGCAACGGAGGTACCTGCCCTTGACTGGGATCAACCTGGGACCCACTCCAGGCCCATGGTCTATCCACTGAGCCAAACAGGCTAGATTACGGCAGTATTTTAAGTGGGAAAATTAAGAAGTGAACAAGTAGTCATGTTTAGCAGGATTAATCTTCAGTTTTTTGCTAACTGTTAAGGCTTAGGCACGGGCCAATCAGAAAGAATGTCAGGCAAAGGGCTGAGGCAGAGTCCTGGAGGCCCCCTGCCGACCACCCACGTGTAAGCTCTTTATTTGCTGGATCTTGGGAATTTGAAGGAATCCAGGAGTCCTGGGGTGGCAGGCACTCCGAAGTGGCTATTGACTAGCTGGTTTGGAAGTACTTCAATATTTTCACAACCAGTATGGCCCCATGGAATTGTCATGGTGCCCTCAGTGTGGCCAAGAATGCCCATGTCAAGTACATACTCTGCCACTTTCTGGAAGTAGCCTGTTGGAGGGATTACTTGTCCGCCACAACTCTGCATGGATTCAGCAATAAAGGCAGCAATCTACAAAAGAGAAAATAGGGTCAAAGTTCATTAGTTCCTCCTCATACCACCTGAAAAAGAGGACTTCTTATAGAGCAGGTTTTTTAAAAAAAGGCTGGGAATGGATCTGTGGCAAATGGCAAATAGGCCATTTAATTAAAAGGAAAAGATGTCTATGATGAAAAAGCAAGTGATCTGAAGCGTTTGTTTCTGAAATCCTAGGGTATCAATGAAACTACCAGGAGAAATGGAAGAGAGGAAGTTTTCCATTTCTTTATAATTAATTTAAACACTGTTTTCTTAGGATCAATTGAATAAGACTGATGCTCTTTGCTCAGTCTTGATACGAATCTCTTAAAAATGACCCAGGTTCTAACTACATTACTGTGGTGCCTATTCCTCAGCCTGGTGAGATGGGACTGCCTGAGACTGGAATTTGTACCTAATGAAATGGGAGTATGACTTGAGGCCACACAGAGGTTACTGTGTTATATTTCTAGTCCTTGTCCTGAACAGGCTTAACTCAACAGACTTAGGCAAGTCACAACAGGAACTACAGAGAAAGTGTTCTAGAGGCTAAGAAAGGAGTAGAAAATAGATAACACTGACTAAGAAGAGAAAGCATAGAACTATTGAGATATCAAGTCGAGAGAACCAAGGTAGGATGAAGACTCAGAAAACAGAAAGTCTTTTTCCTGCTCTAGAGGATTGTGGTTCTGTCTTAGAAGCCAGGCCCAGATTGGAAGAATCTTTTTCTGCCATGACTTACCCAAGCTCCGTGCCTTTGGGAAAGTTGAATCAGTTCAAGGAAAGCGCCAAGGCTCCCTTGTGGGTCTGATGCTCCAGGGACGCCCTGTCTGTCCCCTCCTGTCACCGTGCACTAGCCCTCCTGCTGCTCTGCACTGGGGTGATCTGTCCCTGGCCCATCACCTTCCTTCATCCCCCCTTCCCTGCCCCTTTGGACCACAGCCTGCCTCCCACTACGAAAGTCAGGGCTAGGCCATCAGCTTTGGGACAGGCACGGTGATTGCATTTCCAGGATAAATAAAAATAGTCTGAGAGGCATGACTATAATAATTCACTTCTTGAAATATGTAACCAGAGAAGGACAGACAGGGAATTGAGATCTAATTCTTTTCTATCTCTCCAATGTATCACAATGACTTAAATCCATTTTTATAAAGATGTTAACATGGTTCCAAAGCTGTAAATACACACCTTCCTTCCATTCTTATGAGCTTCTTCAATGATTTTTTTCACTTCATCTGCATAAGCACTGGTTGGGTCTGCATGGTCTTCTCTATATTTTCCTCGGTAAGTATCTGGAATTGGTGCCTGAAGACATCAAATAATAGAGTTTCTATTGATTAGCCTCTTGCACAAAATGAGCTTGTAAAATTTGGCATTTCCCCACAAAAGCATATTAGGAAGGTGACCATGTGGATTTAAGTGACTCTAGGTTCGTTTGTTCTTTTCTCACAGCATTTCTGAATTCGGTGAGTAATGAAATCTTTTTATTGTGAACGGGAGCTTGGATTAGCTCCTAGACCTAGACCTTTATAAATTATGACTGCACACCTATTCACATAGGGACAAAATTTAAATCAACAGTGTCATTATATTATTGTAAAATTTCAATGAATGGGAACTGTATTAACTATTTTAGATAGAAGATAAACTAACATTTACCAATTATATAGCAAACTGAAATCATTCAGAAAACTCAAGTGTCTTAGCACTGCTTCAAGATCTTAAAATTTTGAAAGAAGGTATTGATGATTCTCTCGAGAAAGTCTATTGATCCTTAATTAAGCCAAATGAAATTTACTGTTTGTTGAAACAAGCCAATTTAATTGGTTTATTTTACTTAATAAATCTAGGCAATAATGTAGCATAGAGAAATTTAATGTTGAGACAGTCATACACACTTAATTGAACTTTGAATTTCAAGGTGACATCAGTGATAGAAAAACTAATTAAAGACCAAAGGGCAAGAAAAATAAACCGGTAGCTGTGAATAACAGCTATCACTGCCACTATACTAATTTGCCCATTGTGGTACTCATCAATGGATTTTAAGCCACATCCTCTCATTCACTGCTCTAGATCTTACTTTCCTTTTCATCTCAATGAAAGGGGTGGGCTGGATTATCACTAGGCACTCTTCCAGTTACTGATATCCTCATTCTTGGATTCTAAAATACTTACCACATGCACAAATTCTTTCTTGACATCTTTGCCCTTTCTAAATTTATATGGACTGATCTCAATTAAAGATGTTAGGTGACCATGGTAAGCACTGAAAAGAAAAAAAACCCAGTAAACTAAATTGCTCAAAGAAGATTGTTTCTCTAGCATATGAAGAATAATATTACATCTCATCCAGGGAGAATCTCAATATTGGTGCCAGATTTAACAGGATGGGATCTAATTTTTCATGGCAGGACTGGCCATTTAATTTGTCCAATTCTTTTTATTCATGTAATAAAATACATGGAAAGCCAAATATGTATCTTCATAAAAAAATTTCTCTTTAGCCAGAAAAGAACTCAATATTTTAACATTGTATCTGTTAACTTAGATAGTCCATATGTAAAAATATTATTTTCTATAGCTTCATGAACAACTTCTTAAATGTATTTGATAGTTACATTTCAGTAAATTTAAAAAGGAACACTATATCATGTAATGGGCTATGTTTCTGTTTGGGATGATTCCCAAAGGATGTCCAGTTGCATATATCAGGCAAATACAAGTTGATAAGGAACAGAGGACTAAGATTGAGAGGTGATCGAGTGGCTATGAAATTCCTTTCTTTCACTTAAAATACAGGTGGCTCTGATATTCTCTTTTCTGTTTCTTGCCCAGAGAGATAATTGAGAGATCTGCAAAAGAAATTATAAAAGGCCCATGAAAAGATTAAGCAAAGAGGGAGTGCTTTCTTTACCACAGTTTAAACCCCGCTACAGCGCTGTGGTAATACAATTAGTATGGCCTTGGGAAAAGAGCAGGGAGACGACTCGGACAGAAGGTGACCTCGGAGCTACATCCGCACAGCAATGGTCACACTGGGACGCCAGGAGGATTCAATATGAGGAGTAATTATTAAAACAAAAAAGACGATCTTTGTGACCTGGGAGTTGAGAAAGAGATATTAATAAAACTAAGAAAACACAAAGCCCAAGATGAAAATTTTATCTATTTGATCAAAATTAAAGATTTCTGTGGAAGAATTCCAATGACAAAGTTAAAAGACATATGACAGATAGGAAAAAACGTATCTGAAATGTCTCAAACTAATGTCTTAGATTAATTCCCAAAATTAATTTTGCCATATATTAGGATCACTTGGGGAATTTTAAAACAATAGTGTTTTCTAGAATCTGCCTCTAAAGATTCTCTTTCATCGGTCCAGCATGGGGCCTGACATTGGCATTAAAAAAAGAAAATCCCCAGGTAATTTTAAAACACAGTCAAGATTGAGATCCTCTGATTTAACGTATAAGCAACTGCATACCAACAAGAAAAGGGTGGGGTCCCAATAAAAAAAAATGGGCAAAGAATATGAACAGTAATTTTCAGAAGAGAATTCACAAAGGCATAAGTATATAAAGAGACACTCAAAGTCATAATTAGAAAATTGCAAATTAAAACAACTTCAGAGTCATTTTATACCTATTAAACAGGCAAACATCAGAAAAAAATTAGAAAGCAGAATAGGTTTTGTTGAAGATATGGAAAAATGGAAAATGTCATGCATTGTGTAGTGCTGCAACCATTTTTGGAGGTGGGTCTGGCAGGATTTAGTAAATCAGCAATGTGTATATACCCCTATGGCCTAGCAATCCTGTTTCTGCACATTTATTCCTAAGAAATTCTTGGAAAGGTCCGTAGGGCACATGTACAAGGATGCCCACTGCAGCGCCGTTTGTGGTAGCTGAGGGTAAAGGGCATTCACAGTGTCCATTTCTGGGGGGAACAATGTGCAACAGTTCTAGCTGCGCTGTCCCCTATGACAGCCACACCCACATGCAGCTGCTGAGCACTTGGAATGCTGCTAGTCTGAATTGAGATGTGCGGTAAGTGTAAAACACACATTGGATTTTAAAGACAATACCAAGAGAGAGCGAGAGAGAGAATGCTCGATGTCTTTCATAATGATCACCTGTTGAAATGATATGTTGGGTATAATGGCTAATAGAAAATTGTAAATTTCCTATGTGGCTCAAATTATATTTCTATCAGACAGCACTGAATTAGAATAGATGTACGGCCATCAACATGGACCTTGAAACAGTGCTGACGGAAAAAAGTCAGAATCTGAAAGATCTATAGCAATGTTTGCAAAAGTAAAACAGAAGCACATAAAATAATATACATTTTACAAAAATAAAAGATATACATTAGATGTATGAGAATAGTTGTCTATAAGTGGGGAAGAATGGGAATAAAATAGAACAAAAAATCAACTGTAGTAGCCACCCTGCCCCCAAGATGCCTCAGAACTGAAGAATATGTTACATGGCAAAGGGGACTTTGCAGATGTGGTTGAATTAAGGATCATGAGGGAGAGATAATCCCGGAGGGTCCAATGCAGTCACAAGTCTTTGTAAGTGAAAGGAGCCAGGGGGGTGGTGATCAGAAACATGGGAGGTGATGTGGGGACGCAAGCAGAGGCTGCCGTAACGCAAAGGCTGGCTCTGAAGATGAAGGAAGGGACCATGAGCCGAGGAATGCAGGCAGCCCCTAGAAGCTGCACAAAGCAAGGAACGGATTCTCCCCTACAGCCTCCAGAGGAAGCCAGCCCTGCTGACACCTTGATTTTCGCCCTGTGGGAACCATTTGGACTCTGTCATACTGAGCTGTAAGAGAATATATTTGTGTTACTTAAGCCACTAAGTGGTCATCTGTTACAGCAACAATAGAAAAACCAGTACACCAACAACACATAGAATGGGAGAGGCCTACAGAGGGCAAGAAATAAGATGCATGTGCAATTCAACCCTCTGTGTCGAAGTGGGGGGTGGAGAGGTAAGAAACAATTTAAAAGAAGAAAAAAAATCTCCTTAGTAAAGGTTGAAGCTGTTGGATTACTTGTTTAAAATGTAATACATTTACATTTGGGAGGTAAAATTAAATAGTGATCATTAATAGTCATTAACTTTTACTTGGCTCCTTGTTTTCTTTAGAATTTGCTCTAAATGATTATCTTTTAAATTAACTACAGTGCATAATCACAACAGTGAAGTGAATGCTTGGACTTCTAAGAAACTAATTGTATTTTTATTTTGAAAAAGACTTATACATGAAGTGGCCCAATAAATAGTTAATGTGTGAAAAGTAAGCCCAGATTCATGCAAGCCCATGAGACCATAAGCACAGCACCCAATAGAGCCTCCAGTTTGTAGGTACTTAGAAGGAAATAAGTCTCCTGTAGGCCTGGACTGGCCTTGATACCCTAATACAAGTAAAAACCACTGTGCCACACACCCAGCCTCCTCTACATGTGTTATGGTATTTGTATGGACAGGGTCAATACGGTTTTGTCTCTGAAGGAGCTTCTTGCTTAGAAATCTTGCGTCCAAGACTTACTGGTCAAGAGTGATCACATCTTGGTGGCCCCTGAACTGCCGAGCCAGGCGTAAGGCTAAGTCATTGGCTTCAGATCTATAAGACAACATAGAGGGAACAATGTCAAGTAAACTCTTTTTAAAAATATTTCAAAATTTGAATTAAAAAGTTGTAAGATTCTAATTGCAGTAGTTTTCCTTATCTGAGGGGCATGCGTTCCAAGACTCCCAGCAGATGTACAAAACCATGGATAGTACCAAATCCCATATATACAATATTCCTCCTATATACACATATCTATGAGAGTTTAATTTCTAAGTTAGGCACAGTAAGAGATTAATAACAATAGCTAACAATCAAATATAACAATTATAACAATATACTGTAGTGAAAGTTCTGTGAATGTGATCTCTCTCTCTCCTCTACTGGAACTCATGTTTTAACTCAAAGGAAGCACTTTTCAGCTTCTCTTTGCATATCCGAACTGTCAGGACCACTCTTTGTGCTTTGGGGCCATTATTCAGTAAAATCAGTGCTCCTTGACACTGTGACAGTGTGGGGGATCACTGAGGGGGCATTAAGTGACTAGTGGGCGGGGGATTCGTACACTGTGGATACACTGGAAAAAAGAATGAGTCAGGTCCCAGGCAGGACAGAGCCAGATGGCACGAGATTTCATCATGTTACTCAGAATGGCCCATATTTTCAGACCACGATTGGCCATGGGTAACTGAAACCGGAGAAAGAGAAATCTTGAATAAGGGGTAGGGAACATTGTATTCAGAAATGTATTAAGAAATAAGTTGAACTCCTCTCCTTCACCTTTGATCTTGCCCATCCAACAATATCCTTCTAATAAAGTTCCCCAGGTGTCTTCAATAAAGAATGAGACACAGAAGAAGCAGTATAAATGAGGGATATGCTGCCCATTTCACAGGTTAGTGGAGTTCAGCCACATCAGTAGGTGATTAACTTTGCGGACATTCAGAAGCCTGATCTCCCAGGGAGGCATGGGAGTGTGGGGGTCCATTATTCTTGGCCACTAAAGTCTGTTGTACAGGCCCACTATTTAATTAATTTCTTATCTATAAGATGAAGATCATAATTTTTCAACCTGGTTCAGAGAGTCTAACTATACTACTCAGACACAGGGTAAGAATATAATCACTTGTGCAATGCTGTCTATGCCAGACATCATGATGTGTGTTTTGCTTGTATTTATTCTCATAATTATTCTAACAGGCTAGTATTGTCATCTCCTTTTTATAAATGAGGAAACAGCCTCAGAGAGTGTAAGTGACCAGAATGAGTTCTCACAGCTAATAAGAAGTAGAGTCAGGTTTCAGACTGAAGCCTGTTTAACTTCAAGATTATTCTGTTTACTATCCCAGGCTCTGTCGCCTCCAGTCTTTGGGGACAACCTTCTTTTTCTTCTTTTTTTAAAAAAATATATTTTTTATTTATTTCAGAGAGAAAGGGATAGGGGGAGAGAGAGATAGAAACATCAATGATGATACAGAATCATTGATTGGCTGCCTCTTGCGCGACCCCTACTGGGGATCAATCCCACAAACTAGGCATGTCCCCTTGACAGGAATCAAACCTGGGACCTTTCGGTCCACAGGCCAACACTCCATCCATTGAGCCAAACTGGCTAGGGTGGGAACAGCCTTCTTTGAGGACAGTGTTCTCTGGGGCTAATCCCTCTCTGACGGTAGGATTATTTGTCAGTAAAAGTCAATTATGATTAGTTTTTAAAAGCAAGAATGCTTTATAACAACCTATCTTAATTCCTTTTTATCCAGTGTTTTTTTTAAATGTTTTATTGATTTGAGAGAGAGAGAGAGAGAGAGAGAGAGAGAGAGAGAGAGACACGCATCAATGTGATAGAGAAACATTGATTGGTTGTCTCCTGCATGTATCCAACTGGTGATTGAACCCAAAACCTGGGCATGTGCCCTGACCAGGAATCAAACTAGCAACCTTTTGGGGCACAGGATGATGCTCAACTGAGACACCCTGCTCAGGGTTAAATATCTTATTTATTTACAAAGAAAGAAGAATGATCTTCTGGTTTAAAATTTGCTACTAAAATATCTCGTTGAGAAGAGAAAAATGAATTATGGAATCATATAATGAAACATGTACAGAATTTCTAATAGCTAATTTTAACACATATAAATCATTTAAAAATATAAATTTATGCTGAATATACACGTTTCCTCCCAATATAACATTGCATTATGAGCTTTTCACATGTCATTAAGCATGTAATTTCAAAACATACTTTTTTTGTGTGTTAATCCTCACCCAAGAATATTTTTTCCCCATTGATTTTTTTAGAGAGAGTGGAAGGGAGGGGAGAGGCAGAGAGAGAGAAACATCAATGTGAGAGAGACACATCAACTGGTTGCCTTGCATACTCACCCGATGCGGGCCAGGGATCCAGCCTGCAACCCAGTTACATGCCATTGACCAAAATCAAACCCAAGACTCGTCAGTCTGTGGGCTGATGCTCTAAACACTGAATAACATTGGCTAGCTCAAAACACACTTTTAATGTCTGCACAATATTCCAGAATAGATATGTAATAATTAGAATTTACAGAATTTGAAAGTTAGAATGTATCTATTCACCTTAATTTTTTCTTCCTTTCCATTGAGTTTGTGTTGTGGAACTATGTTCTTGTGCTTAAGAAAACAAAGCAATCACAAATCTTACGAAAGCCCTGGCTAGGTAGCTCAGTTGGTGGGAGCACATACCTGTACACCGAAAAGGTTGCAGGTGTGGTCCCTGGGTGGGTTGTGTATGGAAAGCAACCGATCGATGTTTCTCTCTCACACTGATTTTTTTTTTCTCTCCCTCTCTCTCCAAAATCAATAAACATATTTATCCCATGAGGATTTTAAAAAATCTTACAAAAGTAATATCTTGTTCAGTAGAGTTCTTTCTTTGATAAATTTCCTCATTCATGCTTTGAAGGGACTAAGCCCGTGGGTTCTTTAGCTACCTACTCTACTGCTGGAAGAGATGAGTGTCATTTGCCTAGTTAGATTTTCTCACATGAGCACCAGACCTGAATATTTTTTGCAACGGATGGCCTAAGTATCAACCCTTTTGGGATACTTAAACAGATGCCTTCCCATCTTTCACCAGGAAAGCCATGGCAATAAAAAGTCGAGTGGCATGCTCATGATCCATCGGACTGTTGTTATAGGCTGTGCTCAGGGGCCTCGGAACAGGCTGTCTGGTGTCGTATGTACAATAGGCTCATGGAGGAAAGGACAGGAACCAGACTGGTCGGGTCCCCAGTGTATGGTCATTCAGTAAACGGCAAGAATGTCGGCAAAGCCTGAAATATCTGTGCTCCACCACGAAAAGGGTTGTGCGAGAGAGCAAACAGAGAGATGGCTGGGAGTGGGATGGTGGGAAGCCTAGAGACATACCCTGAGTTGGTGAAATAGCACACGGAGAGCTTCTCCGGCAGGGTCGCGCAGAGGCGCTTGGCGTACTCCACAATGTTGTCGTGGAGGAATCGAGAATTGGTATTTAGCAGTTCCATCTGCTTCATGGCAGCTTTGACCACTTCTGGGTGACAGTGTCCCACTAAAATGTAGGAGACAGAAGCCAAAGAAAGAAGTTACAGCACTAAATGCCTGGCAAGTGAGGGGGATGCTGAAGCAAGAAAACAAAGCAGAAGTCGAGCTCCTTTCTGTTCCACGTGTTGCTGCAACTTTTCTCTGCTGGGACTACCGGCCCCCGTTCAGCAAAGGAACTACAGCTTCTGGAATTCCTGGGGCAAATATTAATGGTGCCACGTCTGCCTTACTCCATGAAGGTACCCTCCAGACACAACCAGGCAGGGCAGTTACCATGGGCGACGTTGTTGATGCAGTCCAGGTACTGTTCCCCTTTCTCGTCAAACATGTACTGCCGCTGGGCTCGCACTATTTTGATGGGGTCCGCAGCAAAGAAGATTTTGCAGGACGGCCTAGAAATAATGAAAGGGAACATTCTGGTCTGCTAGGGCTGCTCAGTGTTTTTCCTTCTCAATGAAGGTCATGATAAGTGGAAAATTACAATTACATCAAGAAAAGGGAAAACACAACCTGGGTGACATACTTTTTAAAAAAAAATTTCATATCAGCCTGGAACCTTTTATCTTCATTCCGCATTCGCGACACGGCTCACATCTCCTATTGTTGCATTAAATTTGCCACAATTGGACAATGCTATTTAAAGGCACACAGGTCAATTCCCATTGCTCTAGTTACATGAACCAATAACTAATTTCCCTTTGGGAAATTTTGTTCTACCAGGGAAAAAAACTCCACCAAACTTTTTTTGTTTTTTTAAGGCTTATTTTGAGTCAGGAACTGGCAGATATTACAAATATTATCTCATTTAACCCTCCCAACAATGATATGAAATAGGGGTTATTATTGTTCTCATTTTTATAGGTGAGGAAACTGGGGCACAGAAAAATGAAGACATTTGATCAAGGCTACACAGCTAGTAAGAGAGAAAATCAGAATTTGAAAGTACGTAGACTGTCTTACACCATAGCCCCAGTTAGTGCTTGCTTTCTCTCTCCCCGCTTCTAACCTAATTTATATGACAGATAAATAGCGCTAAAGGTTATTCTAACCCTTTAATCCACTCTTTTGAGCATAAAAAGTCACCAACATTTTTTGTTATTTGGGAATGTCTGCAGTATAAATGTTAGCAACATAGCAAAAGACTGGGTTTCTGACCTTGGTTCTATGGACCCTTAGAAATGAAAACTGAATATATTATTTTTATTTTGGTGATTTTGCATGCAAAAAACCCACCAAAACCCCCACACATTAAAGGTAGTCTACAGGCTATTTAAATACCTATATTATTCAGTTGACAGGCATCTCTTTAGAAAGTATTTTCATTATTGCCAATAGGTCATCTGAAGTTTTAACATTGCCTACGCTAAGTAAACCAGTATGTGATGTGAATTTCTTATCGGTTCGTGCTCAGCTGTTAGTTTATGCTAAGAGTTAAAATCCAAAGAAAACCGTTGTTATGAATGAGAGCTGGAAACTACAGACTTCACCTTCCCTTGCTATAATGTATTTCCACCTTGCCCTTCAGACTTCGGTAAAATTCTCCAGTCACTTCATGGCTAAACACCTTCTTTCACAGAATTTGTTCTGCTCATGTCAGAAATCATTAGGTTTTCACTGGACCCTAACTATATAGGACGGAAAACTAACAGAATGGAGTGGTGATTGGAAAAGGGAAAGGGACGACCAGGGAAGGAGGAATCTATTTTGCTTGTACAGTGGGGCTAACCGGCCTCCAAAATCATTCAGAAACTCCCCAGGGTTGGTATCAGGGGCCTCGGTATGACGGACTGCCTAGCACAGTGGTTCTCAACCTTCCTAATGCCGTGACCCTTTAATACAGTTCTTCATGTTGTGGTGACCGCCAGCTATAAAATTATTTTCGTTGCTACTTCATAACTGTAATTTTGCTACTGTTATGAATCGTAATGTAAATATCTGAAATGCAGGATGTATTTTCATGGTTACAAATTGAACATAATTAAAGCATAGTGATTAATCACAAAAACAATATGTAATTATATATGTGTTTTCCGATGGTCTTAGGCGACCCCTGTGAAAGGGTCGTTCGACCCCCAAAGGGGTCGCGACCCACAGGTTGAGAACCGCGGGCCTAGCACTTCTCGGAAGAAGAGGGCCCTAGTTCTGTTCTTCCTTGGGTCCCCCAGGCCTCTCTCCAGCCAGCCCGCTGCAGCGCTGGCCAATTACTTGTAATGATCGCAGACCCTTGATTTTACAGGATCCAGGGCTTCGAATGGCCGCAATCATCGGTCGTTTTTGCATGTACCTTAAAGGACAGTCTCACAAACAAAAACAACAAAAGCAGATCACACTTATTTAATGTCATTTGCTCGCTCCTGCGCAGCAGGCTGTCATTCCTACTCTGCACAGAGAGGAAGTTTGACAGAGGTCACACAGGTCACAGGACACCCTGCTAGGATCGGAGCCCCGACCGCGTTCACCGGTCTATCGCCAAGTGGTTTGCAGCGCGGGCAGCACCAGCGCACCGGGAGAGGACACCGCAGCTTTGAACTGAACTGTAAGTAGCCACGACCCTTAGCACGGCCGTTTCAGAGTTCTCTACTGGCTGGGTTAACCCTCTACCTCTGAACCGAGCGCGCAATAAGAAAGAGCCCACTTTAAACAAGCTGTCAGAATTAGTTTTCATAATCGTCGTCAGAATAAATATTTCTGAGTTCACAGTTTTGAAAACCTTTCGAGTTGAGTTGGTGGGAGTGGAGGAGAGGTGCGCTTCTTCCTCCCAGCGCCCGTCCCGGGAATGGTGTTCCAGGGCCATCGCCCCTCCCGGGGAACTCCTCCGGCGGCCCGCGCCCCTCGCCCGGCT